TAATGGCCCTGAGTTCTGAAGTGTAAGTGCTTTTCATTATTTCTAGCCAGAATACATATTTTTGAGAGTACAGTGTATTTCTTTTTTATTCCCTGTAACGCCACTAGCATAATCTTTAACATTCGTATGTGTATGTGCATTGTATGTGTACATTTGTATATGGGCACGCATTAGTATATGCATATTTGTATAGGTCTGTGTGCTTGTATCTGTGTGTATTTGTGTATGTGTACTTGTGTAGGTGCTTGTATATTTGTAAACACTAAACAACTCATTGTTGGGAGAATGAGTATTAATGAAGCCTAGTCTGTTATTAGGGCACTTTCATTCTCTTTCCTGCTGCACCTTTTCACTTCTGGTTTATGCACAACTGGATGTTGAAATGCATTAGAAATATGAGAAACCCCTAAGATGGCAGTTTAGTGCATTGACTAATAAGACAGAGAGATACTCACTGAACGTCCAAGACAAGCTCAGCCACTGTTACAGGTAAATGTGGTCTTTTAACGAAAAAGTACTGTAAAGCAAAATAAGTTGCATCAAATTGCAGTTCCACTGAAAACAGTTCACAGCAAAACAGCTTGAAAGTTTGAGTATTTGACTTCTTCAAAAACTTGGCAGGATAGTGAGGATTGAGTTGGGGTCATGATGCCTTAGAAGCCTGAGGACAAGAAGACAGTTTCAAAGATCTCAGTGCCTGTAAGTTTGTCCTAAAGGAAGCCAGCCCTCATATGTTTGGTCTGAGAGCCTCAGGGTTGATGATGGACACTGTATGCTTGGTCACTAAGCAAAAACTGCCATGACATCTTTGCAGGGCTTAGGTTCCTAAGTTTTATTTTTATTTTTATTTTATTTAGTTTATTTTTTATTTTTTTATTAGGTTGCTAAACTTTAAACCCTGAGATTCATCCTCCTAGCTGAGAAAAGGTTCCAGTTAGCCGCTGGTGGTTATCTTAGACTTTATAGATTTCTTCTGAAAGCTGACTTGGATACCAGTCTTTGTAACTGTTCATAAAGTCCAAAGATAACAAATCACCACCACGAATTTTGTGGATAAAGAATCTTCTGTTCTTCAGGCTCCCACTACCTTCCCAGCTTTGTCTATATACTCTGTTAATATGGGTCCATGAACCACTGTGAGATGTTCTCAGCTATCTTGTGGTTGCTTCCTTGGAATGACGGGGAAGAACAAAATGTTATACACAGGATACACTTTGCAGCTAGTTGCAGCTCGGTAGTAAGTTGGTCTTGGTGATTTCTTCAGGGAAAGAGAAGATTGCATGGTGAAAAAGAACGACCATTTAAAGGGTTGGCCCGAGACTCTAGCTTTGCAGCTGGTGAGACATAAAAGCCAGCACTTCCGAATGATCGCTCTTAATGAAAGAACTGGTTTTCTAACACTAATTCACAAAAAAATCCATAATAGATTTTGAATAATAATGTGGATGGATATTGACCTTTAAATCTTGTGTTAATGATAAAACTCTCATTTTTAAAAAGTGGAGAATGTGATTATTCAAACTTTTTTTTTTTTTTAACAGAAAGTACAGTTTATTATCTGTTGTAAATATGTGGTTCAGTTGAGTTATCCTCAGGTCATCCTGCTTTATCCTGATTCACTCCATCCTGCTTTGTTTTTAGGAATTTCACTGCCAATTCACATGTCCACTAGGGTGTAGTCAGTTACATGGAAGAGAAAAATCATCGATATCCTTCCAAAAGATTTGCTTTTTGCTAAAGATCCAATATCTAAAACAAGCTTCTAGGCCAGTTTTAATCATTATCTTATTTGTCCATTTGTACCAGTTTTTTACACGCAGGTCATAGTTTTCCAAGGGCAAAAGCCCGGTACAGATGAGGGTAGAATATCAAGGGAAGGAAATATGGACATATATTTTTATCCCAACGAAGCTGAATTGGCTCAGGAGAACAGCCAGGGAATGAAAATAAGCCACCTTCGTAATTCAGCACATGTGGGCAGTAGAGGTAATGTCATAGAAATCCCTGAGTACTCAAGGGACTGTGTGTTAAACAGCGACAGAGCCCAGTGAAATTGTCTTTGTGTTATAAATTTTCAATTGCAGAAAGTTACAGCTCATTCAAGACCTAATATCCATAATACAGTCTGACGGCAGCAAAATCACTCCAGCGGCAAAAGAATTAAATGAAAAGCCATGCTAAATGCCTGCCTAGGAGAGAAAATGGACACAGTGTTAACTGATCCCACGTCCAAAGGGTGTCCTAGAACACGGAAGAACAGGGCCACCAAGTGGACCCAGGGGACTCTGTGAAGCATGCATCCAAAAGATTGGTCATTTGTGCAGTGACGTTTGCCCTCTTCAAGCACCAGCTAAGTTTCTCAGCCTCAAAACGGGACAAGTAAGGATTCTGAGTAACCTCAGGATTCTGGTACTGATGGTTATGTAAGCTAGGGTATTACCGAAAGGACTGATGGAAATGTTGGGCCACATATGAGTGATAGAAATGCCATTAATTAGTGCCATTATGTTCGAAGCTATAAAACTGTAAGGAGCTTGAAGAACATAGAGGTTACATGTGTGCTCTACCCTAGAATCCAGCGAGTGTTCTGTCATTAATTAGGAAAGTAGGAGAGTCTGGGAAGGAAGGAAGGAAGAGACCTCTTATTTCTCCTAAAGAGATCCTTGAATGCATAAGGAACCATGAAGGAAGGAGCATCCAGTAAAATAATGGTGTCTTGGAACCCTGAATTGACAGATGGCAAGACCCTTGATTTCTTACCTTAGATCATTCTTTAAACAGAATCTAGAAAGTAAGAGCTATTAGAGGTACCCCATTCAAATCTTGATCCCCTCATTCAAATACTGATTCTCCCCCAATGAAATGTTGGTTCTTTTCTTCAAATGTTGACCTTTATTTCCATCGAAATACTGGCTCTTTGATCCAGTAGTATCTGCTCTGGTACCAAGAACAACAGTAAAAGTACAGGGTTCTTCACATTTCACAATTTAGAGGCATGCGCAATGATCATGCAATTTATGGTGATCACAATAATGATCCTTGTGAGAGGGAAGTCTTGTATATACATGTAAAGATATGGAATGTGCTCACCTCTGAACAAAAGAGCCAATATTTGGGATGTGTGGGTGGCTTAGTCGGCTAAGCATCTGCCTTCAGCTCAGGTCATGATCCCAGATCCTGGGATCGAGTCCCACATTGGGCTCCTTGCTCAACAGGGAGTCTGCCTTTCCCTCTACCTGATGCTCACCCTGCTTGTTGTCTCTCTCTCTCTCTCTCTCTCTCTGACAAATAAATAAATAAATACATTCTTGGGGGGAAAAAGCCAATATTTCTTAATAAAAACCTCATATTTCTTAAAAACAAAGGGGAAATAATATACAATAGGCTAATCCAAGATACATTTATATCACCTTATTTAATCCAGTAAGTATCCAAATTGGATATGATACTCATTAGAGCAGTCTCTGCTTTGTAGAGGAAATTGGAATCACCAAAGGTCCAAGTAAGTTCTGTGCTGCACCCTGTCCCCCATCCCGGAGCATTGGTACTTTTTGCCTGACTTCCCTTACCCAGCCTCTTCCTTGGAAAAGACACAGCTGCCTCACAGAGGAGGAGTCATTCCTTAGGACTAAACCTACAAAGAACTTTGAAAGCTTTCAAGATGCCCCTGCCCCAAGTTAGCAAGCACTAAGCAGAGAGTGAAAAAAGTAATACTCGTGTAGCAAAGTTTGTCATGCTTTCACAGTTGGCTTTCCTCTGTCACACATAGGTTCCCGTGGTTTCTTTTTGTTGTTTGTTTGTTTTGGGTTTTTTTGGTTAGAATTTTATGTGATTGGCTATGTTCTGTCCAGCTTGGAGTTATGGGCATAATGATATTTGTTTTACTAAGGATGTCATCACACTCCCTTAAGGAGACGAATACTGCTCCCCTCCCCATCTCCTGCCAGAGTGAAGGACATGTTGCAGTAAAGCCAAACATTCCAGCCTGAAGAAACTTTGTTCCCCTGCAAGAACTTGTGCCTGTCCTACTTCCCTGTGAGTCTACAGTTACTCTTCAGAGAGCTGTGTTCACATCCCATGGTTCAGCTTATTCATCGTACAGAGGTGTGGTGGATTTGCTCTTGGGGACTCTGAAAGAGCCGGTCGCAAAGTTTTCCCCAAGAAGATGCTTCCCCTTGGAAATTTGAGAGAGCCACAAGGAAGGCTTTAAATAGAACTCACTCTTACCTCATCGGAGGCGTGGGACTTGGGTTTGGTCAGGCATCCCTGTTGGGGTCTCCCAAGGCATGATGGACTTTTCCTTTCTGCACTCCTTTTTCTTGTGGTTAGCTAGGGGGAAGCCGGTCCTCCATGCTAGGCACGTTCCGTGAAGGCAGGGACTGTGTGGCTCCACTTTACCACCGTCCCTGCACCTTGAGGAGAGTGCCTGCTGCGCCACAGACCTTTGGTATGAAAGCTTGTTTGTAAGCTTTAGTGCTTCCGTGGGTAGCAGGACCCGACAAGTAGGGCAAGTGGAGAGAATCGGGAATACGTGGGTACCTTGCCATTGCCTGCACCTTCCACGGTGCACAGAGGATGGCTCCTGTTTGGAAGAGATGAGGCAGAACTGGAAAACTGAAGGGACAGGTGTCTGTAAATTTGGATTGAAACGCTTTCCTTTTAAAAAGTTGAAACCACTCTGGCCACTGGCTTGAGAGGATAAAACCCAAATCACAGTGCCCAGCATCAGGACTGTTGGAGATCTGAGGTTCTCATGTGATCCTCCAATGCAATTTCTTAGAACTCCCCAGAGTTCTAAAAGAGTAGGTGTTCATATTGACTGATGCTTTGAGGATAAGTGACGCCGAGAGGAAGACTGGGTCCCTGGTCCTGCCTCTCAAGCACGGTTCCTCCCAAGAAGTCACGTGACCTACACCACCCCGTTCGGGTACAGTGTCTTGTGATATTTTATGCCCCATCTTAGCTTAAAATACTGCCTAATTTTTCCCCCACAGTGCCATCAATATCTCGGTGCTTCTTTTAAAATAATTCATATGCAGTTTCTATATTAACCTGCGCACCTCTTTTTAGCAGTTTCTCCCTTCCCTGACTTGTCTTTTTGTGTGTATGTGTGCATGACATAGGGGTGGTGAGGAGCCTGGACCAAGTACATGGCTTGTACATTATGTTTCTTTCGGTCTGTCCAAAAAAAATGAGCTTTGTCGATGGAAAATGCATTTCTCCCAACTTGTCTCCACTCTAGTTCATGACTTAGCAAGCAGATTTTCTGAGAATGAAAATAATTGTACCAATGGCCATGATATACACTACTGGGAAGTCTCTTGCCTTTCTAAGAAATATTCTAAATATCCAGAGTCCTTTTTTTCTTCTTTCTCAAAAGATAACAAACTGAGGTCCCAGGGCAAGCGGTGCTGTCAGCTGCTGTGCCTTTGTCATGTTTCTCGTCGGTCTTGCCTTTATAAAATTGGCCAAAACTGCTCCCCTGCATTGTGGCCAAATAGATGGGCTGCCCTGACCAAGGAAGGACCTTTTGCGGAGTCCTGGCAGCAGATGGATAAGCTTTGTGCTTGTGTGAGGTCTGTAAATACCAGTGTCCCTGGGGGCATTGGTGCAGAGTCTAGGATCTCTCCCCAGACCCCCAGGAGCAGACTCTCTGGGGTGAAGCCTGTGATCTTGGACTTCTGAGCTTCTCGGTGATTCTCAGCTCTTTGAGAGTAGTTGCATCCATTGAGTAAATATTTATCATGGTCTCTAACGTACCAGGTGCTTCACTAGATGCTGGGAAGAGAGAAATGCACAGAAGCAGATGTGGAGCCTGAATGTGCTGTTCTACACGTGTTTAGAAATGTGACTCGGCTTTGGATGGTAAGGCTCGGGCAGATGCCTGAAAACCGGGAGCTGACATTTTCAACCAATCAGCCAGTTCACCAGTGTTCATTCTGTCCCTAAGAGAAAGGCCCTGTGCTACACACTTGAGCTGATAGCATAACATTGTTCCTAGGCTCTAAGAATTTTGCAGTCTGGTTGCGAAAATGGCATGTATGAAAGTTAATAGTCAAATAATTCAGGACTGTAACAAAGAAACCACAGTCTAGTACATGGTTAATTGCGGAGTGGTGCTAACGGTAATTAGCAGTATTCTGGGTGTTACTCTTTACTCCTCCTTCCATCTGGATTTTTCCCCATGCTGAGTCCATCCTACTTCATGAATTAAAAAAAATAATGTTTAGTATTAAATAGCACTTAAAATATCCCCTATTACACTGTAGAATATTTGGAATTTTTGAAACAAAGGCCACTTCTGCTTCAGGGCGCATATCATTCTGCTGCTTTGCTGTTAGCCAGTCATAAAGTAAGGGTTAATTACCTAATTATGTAGGGGTATATTCAGATAAAATTAGTATTTTTGTTCTCAAAATGCTACCTAGTTTGAATGAATGTGTGTGTGTGTTGCACATGTACACACATATTATACAGACATACATAAGAAAAATCCAAGGAGAAGGAAGGCACACTTGGAAAGCGCATGATTCCAGAATACATTAATTCAAATAAAAGTTATGATAGAGGAAACTTTTTTTTTGATCATTTGAGATACTAGAGATTGCTACGGGCTCACATTGCTGAGGACACTGGGATATCCTCTCTGGGGAATTTTAAAGAAGTCAATAGATTAGAGTGAGTTAGAAATGTCCTATGTGAATTCTTAATCGCAGGAAACAAACTGAGTGTTGTTGGAGTGGGGGGTGGGGTGGGAGGGATTGGGTGACTGGGTGATAGACACTGGGGAGGGTGTGTGCTCTGGTAAGCGCTGTGAATTGTGCAAGACTGTTGAATCTCAGATCTGTACCTCTGAAACAAATAATGCAATATATGTTAAGAAAAAAAGAAGAAGAAGAAGGGGGAAATCGGAGGGGTGGACGAACCATGAGAGACGATGGACTCTGAAAAACAAACTGAGGGTTCTAGAGGGGAGGGGGGTGGGAGGATGGGTTAGCCTGGTGGTGGGTATAGAGGAGGGCACATTCTGCATGGAGCACTGGGTGTTATGCACAAACAACGAATCATGGAACACTTCATCTAAAACTAATGATGTAATGTATGGGGATTAACATAAGAATAAAAAAAAAAAAAAGAAAAAAGAAATGTCCTGTGTGATATTCCTCAGATCTCCTGGGATTGCCCTTCGGGGATTTAAGGACTCTGAATGGAAGGTATATTCTTCAGTAGTTGGATGCTTGTAAATCCCAGAGGTTAGAGGCCATATCCATACAGGGCTGTGCATGAGTACAGTGCTAGGCTTAGTCTTTGGGGTCAGACAGTTCTGTGTTCATGTTATGACTCCCTCACTGGACTCTGTGGCTGTGGGACTTAATTCTTAGACTCGTTTTTCTCATGTATAAAATGGCCTCAATAATAGTACTTACCTAATAGGGATAGAGAATATATTAAATAACTTAATAGCTGTTAAATGCTTACCCAAAGACCTGGCATAAAATAAGCTCTCAGTAGTAGCTCTGATTATCATCATCATTATTTATTGTTACTTAGAAGAAGCCAGTATATATATATTTTTTATATGCCCTTCCCAAAAAAGTAAGGCAAATTAGGTTCTACAAAATAACTTATCGACCTTTTCCCACAACCATTTCTACACGCACTTCAACAGACAGGTAAACTTTTCTTAATAGAATTACCCATATTCTTTCATTGATCTATAATCTTGGAAGCTTCAAATGTGTTTCTTTATAATATATACCTGAAGGATGATAGGAATTTACAAATGCATTATTTACTGGTGGATCTACCAACCAGTAAACGCTCAATTTAGGATGGTAACAATGATCTGAACAAAGTTAGCACTTTGTGAAGCTATACTGTAGCAAAATATGGCAATCCCCATAAAAGAGGCATTTAAATATTGACAGTAATAATTATAGGATTTTTACTTCCCACCAGCTGTTGTTTCTTGGAGCTGTGTACCTATTAAATATTAGAATTATTTTAAAGGTTTTATTTATCTATTTGAGAGAGAGAGAGAGCACAAACTGAGAAGAGAGGCAGAAGGAGAGGGAGAAGCACACTCCCCACGGAGCAGGGAGCCCAATGCAGGACTTGATCCCAGGACTGCAGGATCATGATCTGAGCCGAAGGCAGATGCTTAACCGACTGAGCCACCTAGGTGCCCCTAGAGTGTTTCTTAAAAAAAAAAAAAAAATGAACAGAGATACAAAATAGAATTACCTTTGCCCTGAGGCTAAGGCCAAAGTCCCCAGAGGGGGCCGGGCCATGCTGGAGAACACCTGCTCTGTGCCCCACCCGCAGCTCTCAACCACCCAGACCCAGCTTCCAGCTGAAGCACAGCAAACTTGTGAGCATCCAGCGCTGTCCAAAGCAACATAACTCTTACGTGCTTCTCCCATGTCTTTTCCTTTAGAGACTTGATTTTATTCCTTCTGCAGACACATTCCAAGGGCATCGAACACGCAGGATGGTGCCGCGTGCCATGGCGGTTACCAAAATGAAGCCGGCCCTCCAAGACTTTATAATCTAACCGAAGACATTAGCCTGAATATATGCTGCCAAATTTCTCTTGTAAAAGGATTGGGGCAGGTATCACGAACTGCTTTTGCTGAACAGATGTCAAACCCTGTTCTCTTTTAGGGAGTGGGGATGGTGAAGTGCATGGCATGCGTTCAGGAGGAAACCATCTCTTACTCAAGAGCCACGTTCTCCCTCCTAAGCAGTGTATAATGATTTCAGATGAACCTTGGTGGTTGGAAAAGGCCGTAAATTATCAAGCGTAAGGGAAAGTCCGTGCTTATCGTGTAAATTGAGCCTCGAACGTACTGAAGGAATTCCGTGCAGTCGTATGTGACTGAACTGATGGGAAGTTAATATGTAATTACTGTTTTTTACAGTATGGTTGGAGTGATTACATCCTATTTATTCTATTTTCCTTTGGAAGTACAGTATAAGGTAATTATAATTAATAACTCTAAAGATAGGCTCAATTACTTAAGTCATGAAAATGAATTACCATCATCACATTGAGAATTTCACAACCGCCCCATATAGAGAGTATCTACAGAAACAATAATGCTTCTGAGAATATTACTTGTAAAGAAACCGAGATGAGCAAATGCTCCGTTTATATTGAAATCAGTATGATTTCAAACAATGGGAAAAAATTACCAGGATTTTGTAGCTTGCCAGTACCTTTAAATCCTTTTATACATTTTAGGAGTCTTTTGTACTTCAGTTGTAACTGTAAATTTTTGAATTATAAAAATTACATTTCAGGAAAGCTTATCTTTACAAAACACAGTTTAAAAAATAGTTCTAAAAGAATGAGAAAAGAAATCCTGTTAAAATTCAGGATTATTTTTGAACCACTGATCTACTTTTTGAGGAATATTTTTAAATAACTAAAAAACCTTACATGAATATTAATGGCATTATGTGCTAAAAGGGGCCATATTACTGTTTCCTTATAAATATTTCAGTTACTTTTTGGGATGAAACTTTCATGGAGATTATGTAATTTTTATGTAAAAGCGAGACCTACAGGGGGAAAGTTACTATCAACAATTTTTGTGAGTTATTTCAGGGCAATTAATGTATACGTTTTTCCGTTATTATTCTGGTCCCTCCTTTAGGGGCCATGACTGTCAGGGAGCTAAGAGGAATCCTCTTGAGTCTTCTAGGTTATAAAACCTATCAAATCTTCTCTGCTTTCCTCTTCTCTCTTCCCCCTGCCCCCACATCTGGTTACTTGCCTTATCCTGTAAATCCTAGTTCTCCAAATTCCTATTCTTTCCCCTCCCCCCGCCTCTTTCCATTCCCAGCACCCTAAATTAGGCCTCCTCATTCAATTATGTTTTATTCAGCACTCTCTCAAGTCATAGAGACCAGACTCTCAATAAATCCCTCCACGCTGCCTTTCCTTCTTAGTCCCCTTTTCCTCACCACCGCTGTTACGCCTCTAGACTAAGCCATCTTCAATTTCTCATCTGCATTCTTTTCTAGGAGTTTAAGCCAGAAACAGTTTCTTGGGATTTCACTTAAAGTCAAAGTAAAAATGCCCACTTCCAGTTTTTATGGGAGGGTGAGCTCAGCATTCTGTCTTAGAAAAGTCTCCCTGCTTAATCAGTTAATCAGAAATACTGAACAGTAATTAAACTTGCCTTAAAAGAAATCTGGTTGGTAGTTTTTTATGCTTTCCCATTTCTGGGTACCCAAAAGAACAGGAATTGTATTTTAGACTTCATCCCTTGATGTATATATAAGTGGCCCATTTTGTCTATCTAGCATGCTTTTCTGTAAAATACTGTGGACGTAGAATCATCTCCATTCTGCCTTGGTCTACCTTTTAGCCTCAGGCAACTCTCTTCTTCAGTGGTTGTGTTTGCTTTGACAAGACTCATTTCATTTTATAAGAACATGTTTTTTTTTTTTCCTTCAAATCTTTATTTAAACTCTAGTTAGTTAACATACAGTGCAATATTGGTTTCAGGAGTAGAATTCAGTGATTCAACAAAACAAGTGCCCTCCTTAACACCCACTCACTTAACCCACCCCCCACCCCTCCCTCCATCAACCCTCAGTTTGTTCTCTAAGAGTCTCTATAGTTTGTTTCCCTCTCTCTCTTTTTTTACGCCTCTCCCATATGTTCATCTGTATTTTCTTAAATTCTACATATGAGTGAAATCATACGGTATTTGTCTTTCTCTGACTTATTTTGCTTCGCATAATACACTCTAGCTCCATCTATGTCGTGGTGAATGGCAAGATTGCATTCTTTCTGATGGCTAAGTAATATTCCATTGTGTATATGTACCACATCTTATAAGAACATATTTTTA